CCTAGTATCCATGCTCCGTGATCGATACAGGTCTCGGTTCCTCACACTCACTACTGGTTGAGTTGTGTTCTCAACGCTAGCATCATGTCAGCAACAAGCACAGCTGTGAGCGGCTCTACAGCACCTGGCTCTATCTCTGCCGCTTGACAATGTCCCTGACGCGGCTTTGGGGGATTAAACGCCATCGTGGCCGTGTGTTAGGGCACCTTTTCACCATGTCCCTGAGTCCACTGCTCACTGTTCACCGTCTCCTCGGTCCGCACTCACCGTGCCTGCGTGCAAGGTGCTGATGGGACGTGAGCCACGAGGTCACTGGGCGGGAAGTGTTCTCAGGAGGGAGGCGGGCCCAGACTGGGCGCTGAGTAGAAGCCAGAGCCTCTGCTCTCAGGGATCAGGCCCTGGGCCCGCCCCAGGTGGAAGGAGCCACCTGCCCCAGGGACTGGGAGGAGGGCAGTGACTCCCTTCCTGAGCTCAGTGACCGTGACTGCCCAGTGGTGCACAGGAGGCCAGAGGCTCATGGAGAGCCAGGTGAGCGTGGACAGCGCTCTCAGGAGGGCGGCTCAGAGAGAAAGTCTCCGGCTGCGACTCCAGGAGCGCATGGGGCTTCGGGATTGACTTCTGAGGATGAGAAAGGTGAGCTGATGTGATGATGACATGATCCGCTGCCGGCAGAGGGTGCAGGCATGACAGGGAGGTGTGGCGGACGAGGCGCGTGCAGAAGAAACTCCGGAGAAGCGAGAGGCTGGGTGGAGCAAGGATGAGGAATGGGATGACGACATTCTTGCAAAGTGAGGGAGAGCTGGAGGTGGGTTTTCACTCGTGGCTTCTGTTTCCCCACTGGCGTGGGACAAGGGCCATCCCTGAGCGGCCGCGGCTGGTTCTGCAAGTCTGAGTTAAAGGGGTCTGTCCAGTCCCGCTGTCCTCCTGTGTTCTGCCCTCACACACGCCGAGTCTGGGCTCCTGATCCGTGAATTCACACTGTCTCCCGACAGAGAGGACAGACAGCAGAGACAGCCTCAAACACGCTATTTCCAGCCTCTGTGCACACAAGTTTAAGACCTCTCATGACCTGACATTCAGTGGTAGGCTGGTAACAGTCGGCTCAAAAAAGAAAAAAAAAGGCACTGATTTGCAGGCCTTGCCAGTTTCCATGGTGTAAATACCATCCCTGTGGCCGACTTCAAGTCAATACCAGCGTGCTGGCACTGAGCGCAGGTTTGGGTCGAGATGAGCAGTGGCGCGCACCTCGCCCTGCAGACACAGTGGGTGCTAATAACACCAAGAGCAAAAATAATAAAAAAATGTAGTAAACTAATTAGGAAAGTAGTGAAATTTGGGTATTTATTGCCTTTGTTTTAATATAACACATTTAGTTGTAAGTTTACATAGTTTAATTTTTAATAATGGCCGTGTTTAACAATTAGCCTTTGAAATTGCCTTTTAAAATTGCCTTAATTTAATTTCAATTAAATTTTGAAATTGCCTTTCAAAATTGCCTTAAAATGGCCGGCTCTGTGGGCCAAGCTGGCTCCAACATGGCCCGTGCCAGGTACAGTGCATCCTGGTTCTAGGTTTTATAGCCACGCGTGTCCTGCCACCATCGTGTAGATTCTGGAGGAAGGGACCGTGACCTCCACATCTCTGTGTTCTTTGACCTCCACTTGCTGAGCTGGAATAGTTTGTCTGCATTTGTGGACGAAGGGTCTTTTGTTTGGAACGTTACTGAAACCCCAGGTTTAATTTTTGATTCTGCACAGGATAGATGAACACACAGTATCAGATGGTCTCTTTTTGAAGCCTGTGCACAAATAATGCACGCCACAGATGCTTCTGGTCTGAATCAGCATAACATATGCTCCCGCTCAAAAGTGGCGACGGTGGCCCCGCTCTCAGATAGCTGGTGCCTCAGCGCTATGTCCTCACCTCATGCCGGGTCTGACTCTGGTGGATGCACAGACACCACATGCCAAGGTGAGGAGGCTGCCAGTTGCCAGGGGCTGGCGCAGGCAGGCCCCTTCGCCACTGGTGGCATTTTCCTTCTTTACCCTCCTCCTCATCATCACCCCTCCTCCTCCTCCTCACCAGCAAGTGTCATTGAGGAGCCACACGTGCACCTCACTGTGATGCACAGAACCCCTTCAGACACAGGAGCCAGCAGTAGAAGGAATTCCTGGCATGTCAGCAGTGGGGACGGAGCCTGCAGGGCAAGGTCCTGGGTGGGGGGTGGGCTGGTGGGAGGCCAGGAGTGTAGCGTGAAGTGTGAGAAGAGGCAGAGGTGGCGGCGTGTCCAGGGCAGAGATGGATGGGAGAGAGACAGAGATAGAAAGAGAGACAGACAGAAATAGGCAGCAGAGACAGAGAGATAGAGAGAGATCAACACAGACAGACAGATGCAGAAACAGAGAGTCAGAGAGACAGATAGAGGATAGAGAGACAGAGACACACAGAGAGACAGATAGACAGAGAGAAGGAACGACAGAAAAGGGAAAGGAAAGGGTGAGGGAGAAAACAAATGACAAGGAAGCAGTAGGAAGGGGTGGGCTCTCGGGGACCGAGTGACGGGGAGAGGGAACTTGGGGCCAGCCCTTCCTCTAGGGCTCCTCCCCACCTCACGGTGGCTCTCAGTGTGTCGCCACCAGATTTGGGGGCCAAAACTAGGTGCGTGAGAGACTCCCCACTGAGCTTGAATCCACCTGGCACTGTGGGTGGATTCCCGGATCCATTCAGGGAGGGCTGGCCCCCAGCGGCCCAGAGCCCGAGGCCACCAGGCCCGCACACCTGAATGCTTCCTCAACAGCATGCTAGTCTTTTTCATCTCGGGCACTGTCTGAGCACTCCGGGAGGGGTGCACTGTGGACTTGGTGTTCCCAGCAGGTTTTATTAGAAAGAGCAGAACCTGACTCTGAGCAGCTACATCACCGTCGTCAGACCTGTGACAACAAATGCAACGTGGGTTCTGTAGCCGCGTTTCATTTGCTGCCTGTTGACGTTTAAGGTCCCAGAGACAATGAACTTTCAGTTTTACAGCATTCATTCACTTCGTTTTTCTAGGGAGTCAGAGAGTTAGTTTAGATAGGACCCCATGTGACCAAGAGGATTTCGGTTCAGGTGAAAAGGGCTCCCTTTTCCTGCTTCGTGAGCAGGTGAAACTACCACACAGTAGGAACACATCTTGCTCTGAAAGACGAGCTGGCTGAGGACAGCGGCTGTTCCCGAAGATGCAGAGTCCGTGCTTTGGTTTATTGTCATTAGGCCCCCCTGTCGCCTCTGCTGGGCTAGATGCTCTCAACCTGGGCAGCAAATGGCCCTGTCTCTCCTGCAGCCATTTGGCAAGTCCTGTGAGATTTCGGATCCCCTGTCCTCGGGGCTGAGCTTTTATCTGAGAGCAGGGAGGGAGGCCCTGAGAAGGCGGGGCCTCGGCCGGGTCTATAGCACCTGCGGCTCTTGCCCCCCGCCCCCCAGCTTCCCTGCCCCTGAGTCCACGGAGGGACTCTTATCCTTGCGGCCGCCTCTGACTGCTCTGCTCTCTGGTGTCTAGGAGAAAGGCGGCCATTGGATGAATGATTTGAGTTATGACAGGTAAAGAAGTCATTCAACCCTCAGCACACGTTTCCGGAGCAGAGGGACGTGCCAGGCCTGCGTAAAATACTCTGAGTGACAACAGGACAGACAGACAATCCCAGCTCGTGGGCATCCACTTGCTGGGAACACGCTTGGGACAGTGCCCGTGACCTGGGTGCTGTGGGCACCCGGCCCCCTCACTCTACCCCCAGTCCTCCCATGGGTGGGCGGTTTGAGACGCTGCCCTGGCATCCCTCCCCCACCTCACTCTCCCTAAACGTGAGAGCAGCCTTCTCATATGCTGAGCTTTGACCCCAGGACTTCCCACGTGGAGCATCTCGGGGGCAACGTGGCTGGAAGTGGGACTACGTTTGATGAGACTGCACTGATTTTACTTGGTTGATAGATTACTGAATAGCGAGTTCCTCCAGGTTTCCAAAAGAAGTTCTGATTCACTCTTAACACAGGTTTTTCAGCGTCACCTCGCTGTTATCACCACAGGTGGAGGGGGCAGCTGTCGGGGTGGCTGACTCCCTCCAGGGGCCCCTTCCCTCCCCGCAAGGGGCAGGGCCTGTTTTCCACACACAGTCACAGAAGTGCTCCTAGGAGGTGTCCACTCCTGGAGTCTCTTCACGGTGACCGTGGAGTGTCTCCTGAGGACCACGCCCTGCAAGTCCCTCTCCCCCTGCTGGCTGGGCTGATTCCCGAGAGCCTCCAGGGGGGCCTTTGGAGGACGCCTTCTAAAAGACCACCCCATGGGGTGGGGGCCTCCCAGCCGGCAGCACAGGTGCGCCAGTTTCTCACACATTTGTCAGGTTTCAGGGAAGTTCAGAACCTCAGAGGGCACTCCCCACACTGTGGGGGGCAGGGTGTCCCGGGAGGGCTGTGTGTGTGTGTGTGTGTGTGTGTGTGTGTGTGTGTGTGTGAGGCAAGCTGGGGCCGGGTGTGCTGAGCACAGGTGGGCTGAGTGGAGGGCCCGCCTTGCCTTCTGATCATGCCATGAGCCTGGCAGTGCCCAACCTGTCAGACAGGGACCTGCACCTGCCCTGTGTGTTTTTATGCGTGTTTGCAGGGAAGTTCAGAGGGCACTCCCCACACTGTGGGGGGCAGGGTGTCGAGGGCTGTGTGTGTGTGTGTGTGTGTGTGTGTGTGTGTGTGTGTGTGAGGCAAGCTGGGGCCGGGTGTGCTGAGCACAGGTGGGCTGAGTGGAGGGCCCGCCTTGCCTTCTGATCATGCCATGAGCCTGGCAGTGCCCAACCTGTCAGACAGGGACCTGCACCTGCCCTGTGTGTTTTTATGCGTGTTTGCAGCGGCAGTTTGGACCTGCTCAGGGCACCCTCTCCGGGAACACGGGAAACTCAGAGAGTGGTCTGTGAGGGAGCGACAGGCCCTCCCTGTGCCCGCTGTCGCTCGGGCCACCGGAGGGGGAGGGGCGTTACCTGGCGATCTTGTCTGTGCAGGACATGGTGATGAGCTGCTCACCCAGCAGGATGCCGTCCCAGGTCTGCACGGAGCTGGGGCCCCGGACCGGCACGGTCCCCTCCCCGGACTCAATCTTCGTGCGCAGGTGCCCGCGGAACTTCCTGACGATGTGTTTGCTGCTGGTCACTAGGAGATAAGAGGTGGTGTGAGAGGTGGCTGGTACCCTGTTTGCCCAGAGACACACAGGCTCCCAGCTTGGAGGGAGGGGGAGGTCTGCACTCAGAAACATCTCAAGTGCCACTGCCGATGTGTTAGGACAGGGAAGCACAAGTCAGCGCCGGGGCAGGAGGAATTTCTTGTGGTGAAGAGCTGGGCTCCAGGGCACCTGCTGGGAAAGGGCCGACTGCACGTGTCTGAGGTGCTGCTGCCATTTGGTCACAGCCGCTCAGCTCTGCCCCAGGCACAGAGCAGCAGCCAGGCCAGCACAGCCAGGGGCTGCGTTCCCGCTCGCTATTCACACTGAGGTTTGAGTTCTGTCATTTTCACATGTCATGAAGTATTATTCTTGTCACCCTTTCAAACTTCTAAACCTGTGAAGCCATGCTTAGTTGATGGGCCACACAGAAAAGACGGTGGGCGGGACTGGTCTGAGGGCTGTGGTCTGCCCTCCCTGGTCTGGATTTTAATCTTGGCCCTATCATAGCTTAAAACCATGGTGACACAGTGATTTCATACTAAAGTTGGGGTAATACTGGTGCCTGCCTCCTAGGCTGTGGGATGACATGAGAGAGGACACAGTACCAGCTGTTACTGAAGGGCAGGGCTGTGTGAGGCAGGGGTCTGCTATGCCCAGGAATGAGGTGACAGAGCCTAGGGATGGGTCCCTGTGGGTCCCTAATGCCTGTGCTCTGCATTCTTTCTCCTTTCCTTTCCAGAACTCTCTCCACACACGCAGACACACACACACAATGTACCCCCCACCCATAGTTATCTGGAGAGCTAGCATGAACAAGGGGACGATAATATTTACTTTTTTTTTCTTTAAAAAAGTTCTGTATATTAAGTCTAGATTATACTGTAATTTGGAAATGGTTAACTTCTTTGCATACACATTATTTACAAAATAGTACCGTGATTTCTACATTTACTTTACATATGATGACATGGATGGATTCTAGATGCTTTCTTTAAAAAGCTTCAATTTTTGTTTTAGAAGTTGTGGAGATGGGATTTCTCTCTCATGTATACTTACCGAATACATCAAATAATAGATAACATACATGTTTATGCAGGCACCTTCTCTTACAGATCTCAAAGTAACTTCCAGTACGTTTTCTCATTTCTAAGAGCTAACGTTCTTTTATTGCATACCCATACTACCCCAAGGCCATCTCATGGGAAGAAAGATCGCCATACTTTTCAGAGAAAGTAAACATTCAAGAGGTTTCAGATTGCTTTGTGATCCTGCTACCAAGCAAGTACTTAATGAGATCCAGTTTGGACTGGTCTGTGAGTCATCCACAGAAGGAATAACCAAGGTCAGAGGCTGAGCCTGGGTGGGCACAGACAAGGAACACCCAGCCCTTGCCCTTCGTTGCAGCTTTAAGTGGCACCATGAATCATGACAGTGACGATGATGGTGATGATGGTGACAATGCTGATGACAGTAATGATGGTGATGGTGGTAATGGTGATGACAATGGTGATGGTGAAGCTGATGATGATGACAGTAATGATGGTTATGGTGGTAATGGTGATGACAATGGTGATGGTGAAGCTGATGATGATGACAGTAATGATGGTGATGGTGGTAATGGTGACGACAATGGTGATGGTGAAGCTGATGATGATGACAGTAATGATGGTGATGGTGGTAATGGTGATGATGACAATGGTGGTGAAGCTGATGATGATGACAGTAATGATGGTGATGGTGGTAATGGTGATGACAATGGTGATGGTGAAGCTGATGATGATGATAGTAATGATGGTGATGATGGTGATGGTGATCGTGATGGTGATGTTGATCATGACAAAGATGATGAGAGTGAGGATGATAAATTGAACATAGAATAGTTCTTATCAATCAAAAACACGTGAGGGTCTCTTTGGTTTGACCTAGCTTTTTACACTGTCCAAGAGGGGTCTTTATCACATCACTTCCTACGGCCGGCAGCCTTGGGAGAATGGAGGATGAGCATACCTAACAGTTTCCACAGTTTACCACATGTTAGTACCTTGCCTCTCCCATGTGGGGGATAGTTTCTCAGAGAATATGGTACTTGTTGTCCCTCTCTTTCTGGTGATTATAGTATTCATAACATTCTCTCAATGCTTCTACTACTGTGCCATTTTCCAGAACTTAAAAGCGCTTATTATATTGTAGGGTTTTCTCAAATTTTATTCTTTTTTCTGCACAACTAACTTCCCATGAAATAGACCCTACAGTTAATAATGCCACGACAACAGGGAGGCCTGGCTTGACTTAACAGCTGGTTTCAGGAGCTATAACCCAAAGTTTTTGGCACATTAATGTTTCCTGAAGAGTCAGGTGCAGGAGAGGCTCCTGAGAAGTGTTTATTTTGGAGGTGTTAACTCTCAGGCTGCCTTCTCTACCAGCTTCCCGATGAGCATGATCAGTCCCTGGGCTCTGAGTGTTGATGATCTTACAGAGCCCTTTTCCTCTGGCTCTCTGGTGCCTCATTGTGAGAGGCAGGAGAGAGTCGAAGATGCTACTTTAAGCAGAACAAAATGCCAAGTGAACCAGAAACTGCAGGGAATGGAACTTCAATAACCTGTAGGGAGTTTACGGTGTGCCCTACAGCAGAGATGTGAAACGTGAAAATCCTGCCTGCTGTGCACACATATACACTCCCAAATCCATGAGTACATTCTAGTCTAATTCTAATTGTCCAAGTCACCAGACTCTTCATTATGGTATTTATTAATCTAAACCCTTACCTTTGGAGACTGATGTCATGATAGGGTGAGGGTGGTAATACTCTTTAGGAAACTGTTAGGTGAATATTTTATTTTTAGTAGAGAATCAATGAAAGGGGGAGATAAATCACAGTTGAAGAAGTCCACCTAGGAGCCAAGGTCTAGCTAAAAAGTAACACCTGGTTGCTGTGAGGCAATAGGGGAGAGAAAGAGTCAGACATGGGAAAACAGGTACAGTGGGGGCTTGACTTACGAGTTTAATTCGTTCCGAGACCGAGCTCGTTAAGGAGCTCGTTAACTCAAATTACTCTGTCAACTCAAAGCAAAAAATCGGCCGAGAGACATCTGGTATCTCAAAAAACTCGTTAGTCGGGACACTCGTAAGTCAAGACCCCACTGTATAGGAAAGAAAGAAAATGCTTTTAAACATCAAATAAACTTTTAAGTTTCAAGTCATCTTCAAAAGGCATATCCTAGAAAATATACCTGTGAAGCAATCTAGAATTTATTTTAATAATGTCTATAGTATTTGCCATGTGATCACGTGGGTGTCCTTTGTCTTACTTGATGAAGACAGTGTGTGAGGATAGTGAATAATGAGGCCATTTACATTCATTAATCCTACGATGCGCAGACACATAAGGCATGTTTCTGTAACTCAGCAGGCAAACCTGAAGACAGGGACTTCAGGAATTCCCTGATTTCCTATGGGATTGTGGGCTTGTCTCTTGAACTGCTCTAATGTACAATACATGGAATAGGACATACGAGGCATTTAGCACACATGTGTAAGATATGACACAACTGTGCTCTTTCTTGTGGTGTCTTGTGCGAAACAGGTTGGAGAATTGCACTAAGCTATTAAATTCTTGGGAAAATGCAGTAAGAATGGACTTTATCAGGCTATTTAAGAACATGCCAAGAGAGAGAACTTTGAATTAAGAATATTGGTGAGCTAGAGGGAGGACAGTAGTTGTCCTACAGCCACAGGGAAGTGCCCAGCATCACCCTGGTCAGCTCAGGGTCTCGTCAGCACTGCCTTGGGTCTAGCCCAGGCCTCCCAGAGCAGCACAGGAAGTGGAATTATCCGCGTGGGTCTGGCCTCCTCCCGCTAGTCACTCTCAGAGGGTCAGATCAAGACCTCTGCAGGCAGAGCCTGTGGCTGGAGCTGCTCTGGCCCCACCGGTAAAAGCCTTGCTGCCGCCCCGTCTGTCTGGCCTTTGTAGAGATCCCAGCACACGCGCTGAGCATGCAGACCTTCCCACGACACTGGCAGGAGATACACGCCCAATCGGGGCAGAGGGCAGGTTAGGGGTTTCCAATCTGGTGGCTCAAAACATGGGTGATCCTTATCCTCAGAAGCACAGGGGGAAATGGTGAAAGCACAGACCCTGGGGCCCCACCACACCAAACGTACCAGAGTCTTGGGGAAAGCACAGGTGGCAGGAACCTGCATTTTAAGAACTTTCCCAGGTGGTCCTGCCCTTTCAAGCAGGAATTTGGGTTTCCTGCCCTTACTGAATGGGAAAGGGAAAGTAATGGTGGTGATGATGATGGTGAAGCTGAGGATGGTGATGATGATGGTGATGATGATGATGGTGAAGCTGAGGATGGTGATGATGGTGATGGTAGGACTCTTGGCAGCTGGTCTGCAGGATAAGTTGGCCAGGGGCCCCTCCTCAGTGTCCCCAGTAGAATGCACTGGGAGAAACGCCATCCTCAATAACTCGGGTGCAGCACCTCATTTTTGCCTGGCATATCTGCGGACAAAATGTGAGGAAATGCTTTATTTCCCCCCCCTCAGCAGCACCTGCCACTTCTAAAAAGCACCATGAAATAAAAGACGCCTGCATCTGGAAGCAAACCCCAGGGTGCATCTGAGACATATCTGTTTTGTTTTTCTAAACCCCTGGCTTTGCAAGTTGGAGTCAAGGGCTGGGGAGGCCACAGCAGGTGCCTGAAGTGCAGAGGCGGGAGCCCAATGAGCTAGAACTGCCCCTCTGTGGGGACCAGCGGGCTCAGCGGGATGGGGGCTCCCGCTGGGAGGAGGCTGCATGATAGGGCCGGTCCCACATGCCTGCAGGGCCTCCCTCCAGACCCTGAGGGCCCTTGTCTGGGTCTTCTTGATGCCAAACTTTTCAAGTGAAAATGGAAAGATAATTCCAGCAGCTAAATGGACCACATTTCACAGTATTATGTGGGGGGCTGGGGTCATGCAGACCTGGTCTGATGAACCTCTCAAGAAAAATGAACGACTTCGTGTTATTTTTTCCTCTTTCTCTTTCTGAGCTAGTGTGGGAGTGAAGGAACCCCAGTGTGACTCCAGTGGACTGCGGCCAGCAGAACTCTTTCCTGGGAGGCAGGGCTGCATCCACCGCTGGGCCCAGGCCCACCCCAACCTCTCATCACGCCGGGGCAGCACCTGGAAAGGTCCTGGGTACTTAGTGGATTCCACTCTCTTGCTTCTCATTAGACTTGGCTCTTCCACTTACTTTCCATGGGGGTGTTGTATGGACCAAATGTTTGTGTCCCTCCAGTTCTCATGTTGAAGCCCTAACCCCGGGGAGATGGTATTAGGAGGTGGGGTCTTGGGGAGGCAACCTGGTTCAGATGAGGTCATGAAGGTCGGTTCACCTACAGGTGGAACAGAGTGTTGTCCCTCAGCCTCCACCATTCATTAGGAGCGGATCCCTCATCTCGCACAAACACTTAATGGATGGCCCGCGTCAGGAGAGTTGCCTCATGCAGTTTCTGGGAGGGTGTGCATATGCATGTGCATGTGTGTGGTGTGTATGTACAATATACACACACATACTATCAGTAATAGACTTTCTTAGCTGCACACTCTTTATTATACACAGAGACACGGACCCTCAGACCCACACGAAACCCCCGCTGTGTCCTCGCTCTGGAACGTGGCGCACCCCTGGCGGTGGAGGTGAGTGGGCCCGTGGGCACCTGCTCTGAGAAGCCCCAGAGGGCAGGTCTCGAGAGGGGGTCAGTGCGAACTCTGTGGGTGATGCCAGCTACCCTGGGGAGGTGTCTTTGCTGCCTGGCATCAAGCTTTGTTAAAAAACTGAGTTTTAGCCGTAACCGGTTTGGCTCAGTGGATAGAGCGTTGGCCTTCGTACTGAAAGGTCCCAGGTTCAATTGTGGTCAAGGGCATGTACCTTGGTTGCTGGCACATCCCTAGTAGGGGGTGTGCAGGAGGCAGCTGATTGATGTTTCTCTCTCATCGATGTTTCTAACTCTCTATCCCTCTCCCTTCCTCTCTGTAAAAAACAAAAACAAAACTAAAAACAAAACAAAACAAACAAAAAAACTGAGTTTTATTCTCCCAAAGATGCAAAGAAGGCAAAGAAAACAGCTTGAGTGTGCTGCCACTCCGTGAAATCTGGTCCCCGCCCTCTGTCATCCTGTCCTCCAGTTGGGCCGGGGAGTTTCTGACCGATTGAGATGGAGTGGGGACCCATGCAATGAAAGAGCTAACTTCAGATTTCACATCACTCTTCTCCTGTGACCTGGTCTGACTGACCTTTGAGAGGGATGACCACACAGGACGGCAGACACCTCCCGTGTCCAGTGTCTCAGGGCCCGGCCACACCACACACGCGGGGTCTGGGCACAGAGAGCCTGGGACCGAGGCCCCGACCCAGGAGAGCATGGGCTGGTGAAAAAGGTAAAAACGCTGTTGCTTACGGTCCTTGGTGATTTCGTAGGGCGAGTGGAGGCGTGCGTCTCCGCAGGGGGACGTGCTCACGTACAGGTGGAACAGGGTGTTGTCCCTCAGCCGGTAGCCGCCGTCCTTCAGCCGCACGAATATGGAGCGCTCCCAGTCCTCTCGCCGCTTGCTGGGGGCAGAAAGAGGCTGAGTCACGACTGTGGACCAGATGGACACGTCCTGATTGGGGGTACTTTTGTCCCATTTTGTTGTTATTCCCCCGTTTCTTCCTCTTCACCCTTGCATGGAAACTTCTAGAGTAGGGGAAACCACGTGAAGGCACACACAGCGGAAACCCGTCCTGTCTGCCTCCCCCAGCATTCACATCCGGGCTGATCTTCCCCAAGCCCGGTTCTTGTGGGTATGTGTGTAAGCCTGTGGATTCATGGTCTTGCGGGCACTGTGGGTTTTGCATGGGCACCCCATTTCTGTTTTCACAGGAGAAGGGAACTTTGAAGGAGGCAGAGCTCGGCTGCCAGCAAGTGAGGAACCCAGTGCATGGAGCCGCTTGTTCTGTGTCCAGCCACGGCCAGGGGGGTGCTCCAGCACTGAGGGCCTGCAGCCTTTGAGGGCACGCCCTCTGCCCTGGATGCCTCCCACAGTCATCACACCCCTGGCTCCCCGAGGTGCTGAGGCCCCACTGGGTGCTGAGCCTGTCTGGCCGCTCCCCCCTCACCCCCACACCCCACTGTCACCGGCACAGGCTCCCTGTTCCTGCCGCTCTGGCTGCTTTCACACGTCCTGCCCCATTGGTGATGGATTCTGTTCTGTGGGATCTGAGCTCACACAGGCAGCAGAATAGACATTCTCTCCCCAGGAAGCCCCAGAGGCACCCCACCAGCCTTCTGCTTCCTTGCCTCTGCTCCTTCCATGGCCAGGGCCCCCTCACTCTCTCAAAACGCCACCCCCCAACCTTGGAGCAAACGCAGAGCCTGGCCTGCTGGGTGGCTGTTCGTGACTCGCTGCCTTTTGTTGGCTTTCCTCAACCTTTGCTTAATCCCCCCCGACCCCCGGGGGTGGGGTGGGGTGGGGCTGAACCCCTGCCAGCCAGCAGCTTGGTGCCAGCACGCAGCCAGCCCAAGGTCCGTGTGGGCCCTGTGCCTTCCGTGACACAGAAAAGTTAGGGATATCTGGAAATATTCCTGCTGGAGCTCTTGGAGATTTAGGAGAAACCCTTCCCACGTCTGGAGAGATTTGCAGCTCTGTCCCCCACATTCAACTCCAGCCACTTCCACGGTAGGGCTGCAGCTCAATGCCAGGGTCAGGCATCGCTTCCCTGGGCCAGCCCGGCGTGCTTCTGGCCCTTCCTGCCCCTGCGTGGCCACTGCACATGCCAGCGACATGCAGGAGTCACTCCCTGTGCCCCTGGTGCCCCGAAACCTTGCCTTGGAGAAACCCCGTCTCAAAGGATGCAGAACAGCTGGAGAGGCAGGAAGAAGCTTTTCTGACAAAGACATAGCCGTGAAGTCACGGTGACCAAACAGCTGGGCACAAGGCTCATGTGACCTGCAGTCCTCCTCTATATTGTGGAGATGCCAGTGCAGGGCATCCTGGCGGCCCCAGCAGGCTGCCCAGAACACGGGACATCCCAATGTGGGAGCACCCTCCTCAGGGTCTGGACAGCCCCTGCTTTTAGAAGAGCCCCCTGAAGCCATGCTCAGGGGAGCGGCAGGCAGGAGACAGCATCTAAGGCCCACCACTGGCCACTTCCGTCGTGGTGCAGGGTACAAGGTCTGGGAGTGGGCACACCGGGGCTGTGGGGTGCAGGAGGGGGCTGGAGTTGAACCTGGCTGAGGTTTCAGGTGCACTCAGAGCTGCTGACTAGGACATGGGAGTTGGCCTGGGCTTGTCTGGTGGCATTTGAGCCCCGTGGCCCGGGATGGGATGAGACCTGGGGAAGGGAAACTGAAGGGCAGGTTGTCTCACAGCCCGGCGTCTGAGAGGAAGCAGCTAGTCTTGCAGAATAAATCCTCGCTCTGTAAGAAGTGTCCTTGGCTGAGAAATTGTCAGAATAGGAGACAGACACGGCAGAGGGAGGTGCAAACCCTAGCAGTTCTGCAGGTTGCAGGTGAAAGTCCTGGACGTACTGGAAGTGGGCCCCCTCTGAAGTGGGCACGACTTTGTCAAAATGGAGCTGGGGTGTTGATGTCACGGACACATTTGGAACGCAGTGGGCCAGGGAGCGGGGCGTTGCTCTGGGTAACAAGCACAGTCCCCTCCCTCAGCTCCCTCGCTACCACTCTGTTTCCAGGAGGGACAGCGCCATCATCCCAGAGATGGGCTTTTCTGTGAGGTTTTCTTCCTTTGTAAAATGCAAGGCTAGTTCAGAGATGAGCAACTGGGAGCTGGTGGTGGGAAGAGTATTGCCTTCCCTTAAGCCCACAGGAAAGGGGCACCTTACATCAGGGCTGGGGGCTGCCCCCTTGGAGACGCCTCTGCACCCTCCAGACAGCCCGCAGTTCCTGCCGTCTCCTTGTGTGTGGGGTTCGGAGGGTGAGTCACCCTGAATGACAGTCGGCAGCATGGGGAGCCATGGGGTGGCTGTAGCCCTCTTTCTGAACGGTGCCCTTGACCCTGCACATACTCTGGCCCCATGAATAGAGCATCGCAGCAGCTGCCTGTGCCTTTACAGCAGTGTGCTGTGCTGTCACCTAGAGACCCCCTGCCCTGCACTGAACGTTTGTGTCCCCCAACTCATTTGCTGACACTAGGAGCTGGGCCTCTGGGGGGTGATGAGGTCATGAAGGTGGGGTCTTAGCCATAATGGGATCAGTGCCCTTATAAAGAGACCCAGCGAGCTTCCTCACCCCTCCATGTGTGGACTCAGCGAGAAGACACTTTATAACCCAGGAAGAGGGTTAATAGACAGCAGACACGGAGGCTGCTGGCACCTTGACCCTGGACGATCAGCCTCTTTCTGAGCATCAGTGATTAAGGTCCCAAGGTGTGGTGCAGCCTGAGCTAAGACACCCTGAAGGTTTTAATAGAAAATGTCATCGATGGAATGGGTGTGTGACAAGGCATGTTCCTACGTGTGGGTATATGTGGGGGGGGGGATGTGCACCTTGCAGATGGTCTGCTGCAGTCACGGTCACTCATGGGCAAGCAGGGGTTTCCTGGAAGGAGGCCCTAGAATCCCGGGGAGGTGTCTGCAATTTCAACGTTTGACCATCCTGTACGGCAACATTGCTGGCGCTTGAAGGACGCCACCCATCTGGGTAAAACGTGTGTAGTAGGGGCAGCCGTCCACCATGCCTGGATACAGGGACTAACACCGGAGCTGGTCGCCGGCCACCAGCCTGAGCTCACACCCAGCACACACACCCCTGGGACCGGCGCTCACCTGAGGTGCAGCTCCAGCTGCGCGTACAGGAAGTGGAGCAGCGCCCTCCGGGCCACGGTCTCTGCGTGGCAGTCGTTGACCACCAGGCCCTGGTCACTGATGTACTCGCCGCTGATGCACTTGGTCCCTGAGGACAGGACGACAACCTGAGCTTGCCGGACATCCAGGCCTGGGGGCAGAGAAGGCGTCAGTCAGAACACGGAGCGCTGCCTGCTCCACGGGATGACTCCACTTT